TATAATTCTCACAAAAGCTGCGTTAATGATGGGTTCAAAGATAGACGAATGTCTTGAAAGCAAGAAGAACATTTTTTGCAGTTTACTGCTTCCCCAAATGCACCGTCATGTCATTAAAACACCTTAACAAGAAAGATGCAAACACACTCCACTGTTGCACTTATTTTTCCTTGTTTTATATATCACCTTATGTGTCTCTCCAGTCCACCTTTCCTCAATTTTCTTCTTCCGGTAGAGATCTTTGTAACTTTCTTTTTTTTAAGTGCAATAAAAACACACTTTGAGCAAGCAAATTGACAGAGATTTAAACTATCCAATGAAAAGGTGCTTTAGGTTTTAAGACCATTTTCCAGTGCAGAGTAGTGAGTTTAGCCTTGCAATAAAAGCTTACGAGGCCACTCTTGAGTCTGTTAAAGCAAAAGGACAACAAAAGAGTTACTAAATTTCAGTCTGGCAGAGAATATGAAGTGACAACCTTCAAGTCATGAGCCCAGTTCTCACAGAAAGTCTATGGCTGCAGCAACAAGTGTTTTCAGAGTCTTCACTACAAAATCCATCAACACCAGTTTCCAAGTGCCATGTAAACATCCAAGAACGACTATGGTTAGCTACGTCCATATACTGACACCTAGTGTATCATTGTGGTTACTGCAAGTAATAGCAAGTGACAGTACAGTGACAATACAGGCTCATTGCAGTTCCACAGCGTCTGTAAAAAAGGGGAACAACAATCATCTGCTCCATCTGATCTAAAGCTTCATCACCAAATCTATGACAGGGACATGACACACGAAGTAAACAGGGTGATGGCACAGGGATACAGATGTTGATTATGATGGGAGATAGCAGTGACGCTGATGCAATTGTCTGCTGTGTTTGTGTGTTGTTTATGTATTTATGTGGGTGTGCTCGTGTGAATGCAACCTGCTATCTCGCGGTGTCTGCTGGTACAGTGTGAGGGCTATTTGGTCTAGCAAGGTAGATAAGAGGGCGATACTGAGGCCGGTGGGTGCGCTGGCTATCTGCCTCCAAGCTGCCAACGTAACAGGGTCACTCAGGTGCACTCTGTGGGGACAAGTGGAGGAGCGGAATAGGAGGAGATAAAGTACGAGAGGACAGAAAGGGTGGAGATGAGGGAGGCGAAATGACGAGGGGAACAAAAGAGGAGGAGGAGATGGAGTGGACAAAGGACAGGAAGAGGGGTCAGCAGAGGAGACGGACGCTGTGCAGAGAGAGACGTGCTGCTGTTCATGCTGTCATGCACTTATCAAGATTTTCACAGCTTAGAGCGTGACAGTGTACTCTGTACGTGTGCACATGTATGTGTAACATCCAGGTGTCGCTGAGCTTTGAGCATGCTCGCATCAGTGTATGCATTGTGTACGTGTGTGTGTGTGTGCAGCTTAGGATTCGTGCATGTGTGAACTTTGCCCACTACCCTCGCTTCTGTGGGGCTCCAGGTTTCGCCTCGTGGGTGGGATAAAACACCCACAATGCCGATTGTTTTCGCAGCACACACACAGAGGATCAGGCCGGGTGGCAAACTGGCACCAGATATTATCATGTGTGCCGTTGCTGTTTTTAGTTTCATTCTGATTTCCTTTTTACAAAGATGGTATGCCTAATCCCCACATGTCAACCCGACTCTGGAGAAGAAAATGAACACTGGAGTCGAACTTGTCAAATAACAGTTACAGCAACAACAGACCCTTTCAAATGTGCTGTAATGTAAAGTCGTAACTGTCACAATAATACACAATAACAAATAAAAATCTCCAGGGGATTTGAGGTATTTTGATGGACGTGCAGGTTAATGTCTGCACCTGATGTAGAGTGCAGTGAAAGACTAGTGAATATTTAAAAGACAAACTATATTCTAACAGAGCAAATATTGCCTTAAAACAGCTGATCCAAGCCCAGATATAAAACTCAGTTTGGGCTCACAAATTGCCTTTAATTCACGCAGCTAGAACCAAACAAGTCTATACAGCTATCTGCTGACAAAATAAGACAACATTTGAGATATGACTATTAGTCCTTTTATAAAACATGAACCATTGGTTTCTATCAATCTAAAAATAGTAGAAGGAGTCTGACAGTGTAACAAGTAACACTTTGATCTGCTGAACACTTTCCAAACTTCCCTAATACGTCAAACCAACCAACATATGTAAAATGACACATGATCTAGTCCTGCACATCATGAAATGAGGAGCAATCAAATTACACAAAATATTAACTTCAAGGTAGGACCAAGGCAATATGACCCAAAAAATAAAATCTCCAATTTTTTACATCACACCCGATTTACGATTTTAATCTGGGTTTTGTTTCTTAAAAACAAACTACAAAAGACACCATATCGTTGGCAATGTGAAACACCACTGTATCTGTAATGTCTTATCCCTGGGGCCCCTTCTTCTCATGTGGGATACTATTGGAAAATTATTGTACACGTTCTGTGTAGATGAATGAATTGAGTGGACTGGGACTTTACAGAGTCCGTAGCAGCTGTATATCGCCACATTATTTTGCATTGTTTTAATTGCCCCTCACTATAGATGTGTCTATTCTTGATATTTCACTAAATATAAATGGTGGCATCATTTCTAGATTTTGTGACCGGAAAATTGCACCTCTCTGGACCGAGTCTTTGAGGACATTTAATTTGCAATAATTCCAGTATTATTTAAATCCAAGACTTTTTAACAACCTTAAACATGAAATTAAAATTTCACAATGGGAGTGAAATACAGAAAGGAACCAATATTATATATATATATATTTAGTTTTGTCTGGGCCTTAGAACAACGTTCTTTTTTTGGTCCAAACTATTCCTTATAAAGTTATTGTTGTTATTGAAATAGTTGCCTAGCAGACATGGAGCAACATCATCGTATATTATTATGTCTATATAAGAAGAAGAAGAAGAACTTTTGGGTTTATCACATAGTAAAGTTACAGGCTGTTAAACCAAAGTAATAAGTTAAAAGATGCTAAACTGAACTGAAAAGTTGAGTAATATTTCTCTGTGGCTTCAATATTGTCAATATAAGAGTATTGATAAGTGGAGCTTTATAAAAAATGTTCAGGCCTGAAAAAAATGTTAACGTTTTAATTCATCTGATCCATTTAAAGGACCAGTGTGTAAGATTTAGTAGTATCTAGTGGTGTAGTTGCAGAATACAACCGTGAAAGTAGCTGCAAAACAAGTGGAAAAGGCTAACAGTCTAATCTAGAGCCAGTGTTTGGTTTGTCCGTTTTGGGCTACTGTAGAAATATGCCGGTTCAACTTGGCGTCTGTAGATATGAAAGGTTAATTACAAGGCTCTGAAAACACAGTGATTCTTATTTTCAGGTGATTATAAACTAATGAAAACATACCGATCAATATTATATTCAATTTCTGCCAATAGGTACACACTGGACCTCTAATCCATTACTTTATCTGGAATTCATTGGAATAGCAACCTTGATTGTGTAACGTAGTTGCATGTAGAAAAAAAAACACTACATACAAAACACAATGAACATTTAACTGACAGCACTTAATTAACCATTTTGCTTGCTAGCTGCCAGCTATAAACAATCATTGTTAAGAGGATACCAATCTTCCCTCACTTCTGTGGGCAGTGGATTAAAGGAATAATACTAAATGGACCAGAGCTTATATTTTAAGGTCCTTCCGATCAATCTACTCACAGTGTGATCATCCAACACTATGCCAGCCAACAGACAGACGTGAGCACCTGTTTGTCCCATATTGACACCCATGACAGACACAAGCACATAGCACACAGAGGGGTAAAGATGTAACTGGAGCTGAGAGGAAGGCGGCCAGGCTGTGGCAGCTGCTTCAAACAGCTCTGGATCAGGCGTTCACACACAGAGCCTTTTGAGGAGCGAGGCGTCCGTGTCAGCCCCTGTCACTGGCAGGAGGAGGCAGTTTTGATGCTTTGAATGGAAACTTGGTGGTGGATTGGGTTAATTTTGTGCCATTAGTTTGAAACAGCAGGATGTTGGACAAAAGAGGTGATATCATTATGATGTGATATTGTTTTGTTTCACATGGCAGAGACTGAGAGCGGGAAAAATATTAACCTGATTAGTTTTATTTATTTTATTTTAGAAAACTTAAAAACATTTACTTTAAATATTTAAACTCAAAACTGCACACAAAAACACAATTCACACCTTGTTGTTAACTTCATCCCTCTCTTGCCCTTATAATAAATTATTCCACAGGGATGTAGAAGCTATGTTGTTTATTTGTGTTAGTGATGTCATAGAAATTGACATAGGGAACCCTGCAAAAGGTCAGAGGTCAGAGGTCAGAGGCACCTGCACAACAGCAGCCCTGCTACTTACTTTAGGCTCCGCTCATACTTGTGATAACTGGATAAGCTGCACTGTGTGTCATGACATCAGAGACTTTAGTTGTCCACCGATATGTCAGAAATGTTTAACCGTCCAGTAAATACAGTAAATGTGTGCCTTTGTTTCCGTTACTGTTATCTCATTCATTCTTATCTCAGTGTTTTATTAACAATACTTTGATTAAATTATGTAAATTCTCACAATGTTGTTTTATTTCAATGTAACAATATGATCATGTTTGTAGGTTTGACTATTGGTGCCTTTAGATATTGCTTAATCTAAACCATGGCTATGTTGTCTGAGATTTAAAGTAATCAAATTAGTAATTATATTAGTAATAAGAACAACAGCTAAGGGGGAGGGCAGGGTATTCTCTTAACAAAGTAGTCTGGATGAGCTGTCGTCTGTCTGAAGGGCGAGATGCGACAATTGGGGATAAAGGCACACGCTTTAGGACGATCATTCACCGAAGACATTCATAATGTTACATTTGTTCGTACATACAAAAAGCGAGGGAAGCAATTGTGTGAAGAATGAAAGAAGCTGAGTAGACCCAGCTGTGAAGTGTGAATGCTTGTCAGATTGTGAGTTTTGGAAAGTTGTTGTGAGACAGAAACACTAACCTTGGAAAGGTGTGCAGGGAGGAGTTGTCAAGCATCAACCGTCTGACAGGCACTTCAGTTGAACCACAGGTGTTTGTTTCACTGCACCAGAAAGGTAAAAAATAAATCTTATATCTGCACTCACACAATGATAATGACTTACAACTCTAACTGCAGTTATCATTTTGTTATTTGTCAATCTGACTGCATGGTCACTACAAAGGCAAAAGAAAAGTAAACAAAAAGAAGTCAAAATAGGCCATGATGCTCATCCCACAGACACCAACACTTCAGAAGAATCTGTTTCAACCATAATATCCTTTGGCACAGTGTGCTAACCCCGCAGACAGCCTACGGAGAGACCACGGTCTGACGCCAGCCAGGTGTAACACCATCTCCACTGCTTTTTGTTCAAGTCATGTAATGAGCCTGTAATGAGGCCATGAAATATTGATAACCACGCTCAGCTAACACTGGGCCTCTATAGGGGTCCTCTCAACTCAAAACAAGACAGTAGAAAGAAACACTTTACTCTCCCTTGCTGAGGAACTAAAGATGAGGAGACTGCTTTGAAAACAACAGGGTCAAAATCTTAATGTGCAAACAGATTTTGTGACGCTTGCAGTGGATTAATTACAGGCCGAGGGTAACATTAAAACCACTATTTAGTGGCGATGGAACAATAAAGAGATACTGGAAGTCTTTCTCTTAGTACGGCTATTATAAAATGCTTCATGAAGTCATCTCTTGTGCCTCTGGTTGACATTTGCACACCTTTTAAAAACATCACCCCCTTTAACAGCCAAACAGGAAAAGCAAGAAGCATTTAAATGAAATCAAGAGTGGAGTCAATGTAATGCAATGTAACATTCACACACACATACATACATAGAGGGAGGAAGACAGACAGACAGACAGACAGACAGACAGACAGACAGACAGACACAGAGTTGAAGGAGAAATGGCCCAGCAGCCGCCCACTGCACACATACAGATTTATTATTTGTGCAGTCACTCAGGACAT